GGCATCTCTAAAAAGAGATCTCTGCCCAGAGCACACACCAGTGTTGCCTGTACCCATGCTTTGGGCACAGGTTTCTGCCCCAAGCTCTGGTGTCAAAAAGGAGCAGAAATTCATGCACGTCCTGTGCCAGAGTTCCCCCTTGCCAGCTGCAGGGGTCTCTGGCAGGGAGGGTCAGCTCTTGGGGATGTGTGCCACCCACCCAGTCACTGCAGATCCTTGCCCACTACTGGGCTTCTGCTCCCTTGTTTAACCTATCGTGGCAGCCAGTCTGTGTAATGCCCAGCTCCAGAAAGTAGCTTGTGGCTGGATGGGATGGCTTGCAGGTGCCTCTGAAGTGCCAGGATGGTCAGGCTCCAGGTTTTGGCTGGCACAGGGAGCTGTATTGCCTTGCCCTAGGAAAGGGTGCTGAGGTGATGTCTTAGGGGCCTTTCCTAGGGGGCCTTAGGGGCCTTTCTTAGATGAGCTTGTGCAGGCTGAAGTTGGTAGAGCCGAACAGCTTGAGCCAGCAGAGCCTGTGCTGCCTGGAAGTGGAAAGCATCATCTCAGGCAAACCTGGGCCAGATTTTCCTGTGCAGAGCACCACTGAACCAGTGTCAAGCTGCAAGCTGTCATGGTGGGACTAAGGATATTTTGGCTTTGAAGCAGAAGGCAATGTCTGCTTGCACATACCTCCAAGCAGACACCTGACCCCTCTATCATGGGACAAGAATATAACTTTGAATCAGAAGTCAGCACTCGGGCAGCAGGGTCTGGGTGAGGCTTAGTGGCCCCTCTCCCGTTTGGCTGCCGCAGTGAATTGCTGGGAAATGTTCCCCAATCTCTTAAAAATGAGTGAAAACAGAGTCATGCAGTGTGTTGGAAACTCCATCATTTAGATGGCAGTTAGTACAAAGTTGGCCTCTACTGGTGTGCAAATGTGCTCTTTGCCAGCTCTTCCATGTGCTTCTCCTCAAAATGGGAAGGGTGGCACCCATTTTGGTTACAGGAGCGGTCTGTTTCAGCACCTCATGAACAATTAAACAGATGATTTTGGGAAGTGCCACATCTTTGACAAAAACTCTTGTTTTTCTGCTGTTCAGGCAAGACTGTGCTCAAGTTGCCAAAATGTCAACCTGTGCCCAACCTACCCCAACCCCGTGCAGAGGAGGGAAATCTCCCTCTCAACACCAGGGCGGCTGCTTTGATGCTGTCAGTGAGTTTTCCTTTAGCCACCATGACAGCCTGTGTTTTGCAGATACCTGCCCCATGACGGCCACATTCCTCAGCCGTACCGCATCCACTCAGCTCCGGCTCATGCAGTAATTAGCCAAGTGTTTCCTGGCTGCCTTTAATTTCAGCCACAACTATTTCCCTCACTCTAATGTAACACCTCTGAATGACAGCAAAGGTTTTGGGCCGCATCCCACGCGGTCCCAGCACGTGTTGAGACGCGGCCGTGCACTGGCAGACACCAATTTGAACCCAAAGGGCTCATACCCCCTCAGTGAGTCACATTTTTCATTTTCGACCTCAAGGCCATAATTGCCCACACTGGGAATTAGCGGTGCCTCCCCAGTACCCAGCCGAGAAGCACTGGGCTTTATAAACCAGCCAGAAGGGCAGGATCCTCCCTAAATCTGTGCTTGAGTTTATCTCAGCTGTAATTTGCCCTGTCCTGTGGCGAAGCAGCTCAGCTGGCAAGGCCACATTGCCCAACACGTTCGGCCCCTCAACATTTTCACAGTGACGGCAGCGAGTCGGGCATCAGGCCTGCCCACCCACAGCTCCCAGGCCCGTCTTTTGTGGCAGCTCCCAAATTGATGAGCTTTCCCCCCGCCCCGTGCCCCTTGCTAACGCTGTTGTGGTTATCCGACCTGGTGGTGGTGGTGTTGCCGTGGCTGAATCCCGCTGTATTGCTGCTCGGAGCTCACGGCTTGGGGGCTGCCAGAAACCGAGGCAGCAGCTGCCGCGCTCGGCCTCGCCAGGCTGTGATCTATAACGTGCATTGTCTTTTTATGTAATGTGTTTTATTAAACATCTTCTAAAGCTTACAAGTGTCCCCAGGACATAACTCTCAAGCACAACGTAACGCTTTGCCAAGTAATGAAGTATGATTTATGGCGGTAATGGTTATCCTATGTTTTTTTAAAAAAATTATTACAGCAATAGCTCTGTCGAATATAGGAATATAACATGCTGCATTTGGCACGTTTATGACAACAGTGCTCTGGTTTTCTTAACTCCACAGTTCGGTGTTGGCAGTATTTCAAATTCTTGAGACAGATGTTTAAATGAATTTTTTTAAGAGGACAGTGAAATACTTTTAAAACATCATACGGTGCTGAGTGTCTCAATATGCGCAGGAACATTATTTCTTTAACATTCAGGTAGGGCAGGGCAGCACATGGCCTCTCTGGTTTAGATCTCACGGTAAATGATGGAAGCAGCAAATGTTGAATTAGCTTTCTGGGGCATCCTGGCCTGCTGTTACTTTTGGGCTGAGGTGGGGAGGGAGGGGCGGACACTTGACCTTCCCCTGGATTTAGTGCAGTGTTCACATCTCCTTTGTGAGCACTTACAACAGATCCACGTTTGTTTTGAATGCAGTTCCCACCATGCTGAGACAGGACTAAGTGGTCTCACACTGACATTTTGAGTGTGTCATTGTGGTCCTGGTGGTTAGGGTTTCAGGCCAGAAATGACAATCATTTGGAAAAATGTAAATGAGAACCTTGGTCACATATCTCTGAGGCAGATAGCATTCAAGTATTTCCATTGAAACACTGAAAATTCTTCGCTTTTTTTTTTTTTTTTTAAAAATGGTACTGGCTGAAACTGAGGAAACCTCTGTACAAAATGAAGCCAGGGTATTCAGCTCTGGCATTGCTGTCGGCAGCTTTCTATGAGGGGAAATCAGAACCCACAAAGGCAGGAGTCAGCACTGCTGAAGACACCATCATCCTCGGTGTGCCAGCATTGGGGCCACAACCAGGCTGCGCACCCAGCTGGTGCGGAGAGATTGAAGACAAGGGAAGCGTCAGTAAAGCAATGAACACTTATATTTAATTTACATTTGACAATTTGCACATAAATAATGATGTAAACCAATACGTAAACATATGATAGTTTCTTGTTCTAGCAAAGTAAAAAGCCTGTTAACTTTGGTCAGAGTCTTTCTTAAGAGAGACAAAAAAAACCCCCAAAAACACTGTTGATTGTTGCTACATTCACATGTAAAACGTCTAAGGGGAGGGGAAAACAGTAAAGAGAAGTAACAATTCTTAAAGCTGATGCATATAAATTCTTGTAATTTTTGTATCAAATACAAGAAAGCACTACAGGCAATAATAGGAAAAGTGTGTGTCCAGTGACAGAGTAGTGATACTTTGGTTTATCCTACAATTAAGTACTATATTTATGAACTATTGCTACATTTAAAAGATGTCAGCCTCACAATTTGCAGGAGTGGAAATGTAATGAACTGGAGTCCTTCAAAAGCTGTGTTGAGAGACTTGTATTTCAGGATTGTTTGTTTTTTAACAGAAGGCATTAAAATGAAGCTTGCTGGAAAAAAAAAAGACCACCGAATCCTGAATTGTTGAGGTGGACTTTTAAAATTTTTTTGAGAACGTAACCAGACAAAAAGGGATACACGGAGGGGAGGTGCGTAATAATGCTGACTATGTTCGTGTGAGTTGACTGTGCAACTCGTTAGTGGCAGGGCACGATGAGACAAGGGCCTTGTCCCACCTGACTTCCATCCTGCCCTCACTGTGATTTGGGACCACATCACGCACAGGTCATGTTTGTCATCACATTTTCTGGCTGTCTGTTGACTGACCACCAGCCTCCTTCCCCCCCAGTGCAGACTGCCAGGAGAGCAGGGGACTGAAGGAGCTCTGGCCTGCTAACAGGGTCATTCCCACCAAATTCACTGAGATGCTACACATAGATGCATGATGAAGCCATTCACGTGTTGGCAAGTTCTGCCTTCGCCTTCAGCTGTGTGTGTGTAACTTGCAAGTGATAAATGCCTTGGTACAACCTTCTGGTTTTGAGGTCATTGGTTATTTGCAAAACTGGGATAACATTTGATTTTCACACTTAGATGAAAAATAGGTTTTATTACATGGTTTGGCTCACAACTTAAGTGGTATAAATATATATACATATACATATATCGTATAGTGGTATAAATATATCTATAAATATACATGTATTCTTTGCTACACCTCAAACATCACCATATCATCTTTGGGCTTAGCAAAACAAAAAGATAAAAGGACGTGCATTCTATCTTTCCCTGTGCACATTTTGGTTTCTTCTCTAAAGTAGCAAAGCATTTAAGTAAAACAGCATTGTCTGCACCACTGGACACAAGCACTGAGGTAATTGTTGTTCAACAACTTTGCAATGCCCTTTTCTTCTTTAATTAAATTAACCACAAAATGTACAAACACAAATACTGAGAAAAATCTGAGTCGTACAGGAAGGACGAAAAAAATTTATGTGCCAGGAAAGGACTTTGTTCCCCACTTCTACCCAGGCAAAGTGGGAGAGAAAAATACAAGTAAAACTGAACCTCTTCTTTCTCAGGGAATCTGACCATCTTTCTTTTTTTTTATCCCTGGAAGGCTCTGGCCAAAAAAACCCCAAAATAAAACAAAAATCAGAAGAAAGAAATCTGCCCAAACCCCCCCTTTTAGGCAGAATATTATTTGTGTCTTTGCTTTTAAACTGCTTGTGGAAACAGAAGACTGTAAGTGAGATTTAATTTTGGAAAAGCCACTTTAAGCTCATGTATTCCTTTGGTCTTAAAGTTACATGACAATGTGTGGGGCTGGAGCTGTGTTCTAAAAACATGTGGTATTGTCCATGGCAGGTTGGTGTGTGCTGTGCCACATCTGTTCCATGGAGAGCTGCAGGGAGAAGAATCTTTCTCCTCTCCTCAGAGAGGCAGGAGAAAAAGTTTCTTCCCTGCTTGCTGCTACTCTGGATTGTTGGTTTGTTTTTGTTTGGCTTTTTTTTTTTTTTTTTTTTTTCAATTCCCAGTGGGGTGATTTGCTCATGAAAGTACACAGCATTTTTTGTCAAGCCAACAGATCTAGGATTCTGTATGTCACATGTCCAACTTTGGCAATACGAAAAACCACATTTGTTTAAAAGACATTGGTACATAAAACACATTTACTGAAACCCTAATCTTAGGTTCTTAAAACAGATGTGCAGAAAAAAAATCTACAAAGAATGGCCATAAAACAAAAAATAAAAACATTTAAAGTAAAAATTACAATGAATTTTTCCAGTCATTGTAAACATTTTCCTAATTATTGCTTTTAGAATGATTAATTGCATAATAAATTATGAAGTACTATCATTGAAAAAATAATTATGGATAGATGATTGTCTCTTAGTAACTGGCGAGGCAATGCACAGTCCTTTGCCCCTTTTTATGCCCTGAGAAAACAGTAACTTTGGAGTTCCTTCTTTCAGCTGGAGAGCGTAGGGAAACTACTGTAAGCCAAGATTGCTTTGCAGCATTGAAACTATGTACAAGCAACTGCTACAGGCACCCTGACTTGCCAAGTCATAAATAAAAAAAATCACTTTGCCAAAAAGTCTTAAGGGTCCATTGGTTCAATTGTTTCTTGCTTGACCTTTACAGGTAACAGAGGTAGTGGGTGACCGTGAGGCAACTTCATAACTGACATATCTGACGACTCGTAAAGGTTGCATCCTGAGGAGATAAGCCCATTTCCCAGGTTCCTCTGTAGAGAGACTTTCAGATTAGCTCCCTCCATTTCCCTCCTGAGCATGGTCAGTATATCCTTCTCCACGATCGATGTTAAGTCGATATTGTCCTCCACTTCTTCCAGCTTGTCAGCATTGTCACTGATGTCGAACTTCTCGATCTCCTCATTGATTCTGTTCAGGTCCTCCATGGAGAGGCCGGAAGCTGGGGCGACGGGGCAGTTGCCCTTCAGGTGGACCTGGAGGCTGCAGAGGTGAATGTAGCTCTTGTGGCAGTGGATGCATTTATGGGGGCGTTCTCGGGTGTGGAGACGCTTGTGCAGCTTCAGGTGCACAAACTGGGTGAATTTGGCTGGGCAGAGCTTGCACTGGTAAGGCTTCTCTCCAGAGTGGAGCCGCAGGTGGGTTTTGAGATTGCTGGTGCTGCTGAACCGCTTGTGACAAACCTAATGTGGGGGGTGGCAGAGAAACAGCGAATGAGTGGGAGGTGATCTTATGGTTTAAATCACAGACACCTAGGAGGAGACGGCAGGATGAAGCAGCAGCTTTCTATATCTTCACACTTTCTCACAAGGGGAAAAAAACCCCCACCTTTTTTATTTAAATATTGCTGAATGTCATTCTGAGTGTGGCTGTATCAGGCAGATGTTGCTCTAGCAGGCTGCAGGCAATCATGCTGTCCCACAGATGCTGCTGCACCAGGGCTGGGCCTGGCTGTGCTGCAGATTCCGGCCATGAGCAGTCAAGGGTTTGTCCCTCAGCCCTCCCTGCACGCTGCATGGGGTGTGCAAAGCCCTACCATCCCTTCAGCCTCAGAAGGAATCGTATCTCTCTCTCTCTGTGTTACATACCTGACACTCATGGGGTTTTTCTCCCGTGTGTACCAGATAGTGCTTCTGGAGGTGAGCCAGCTGCGTGAAGCCCTTATTGCAAGTCTGGCATTTAAATGGTCTCTCTCCGCTGTGTACTCGGAGGTGCACCTAGGGAGAGACAAAGCAATTAACAATTTGCAGTTTCCAGTACTACAACAAAAGTGCTTTCAGATGTTTCCTAAAGTCAGCGGAAGAGTGCCATTGCCAAAATACAATGTTATCTAGTTAATTAGGTGGCGTCACTATTCAAACACACAACCACGCTTTCTTGCTGGGGGACGCTGTATTAAGCCCAGACGCATAAACAGCCTAACAAGCGAGGGAGGCCTGACCCTGCTTTTCCTCGAAAACCTACAGGGAGAAATCTGAGCCTTCAAAGAAGGCTCCTGTCTTATTCTCCACTGCCTACCTTCAGATTGGACAGCTGGCCAAAGGTCTTGGAGCAAACATTGCATTCGTACTTGATCTTCCCATTCTGCTTTTTCAGTGGGTATGGGAGTGTTTTGTAACCGGTCACATTCCTCTTACTTTTAATGAGATTCATGGCTTCTTCACCGCCGGTGGCAGCCAACACCACTGAGGTAGGTTTAGGTTGCATTATGTGTTCTGAACTGGCTGCTGTACCAGCGGTGGGAGACCCACTGGTAGGGCTGCATGGCTTGTCCTTCATGCTGGCAGCAGCGCCCGTTATAGAGAAGGCACTGTTGGGTGCTGGTATGAGGAAGTCTCTCGGATGATCAGGCTGCAGCAGTCGACGGCCTCCTTCACTGGGCAATGAGCTGGGGAGCGTGGTGGGGTTGAGCATGTGGTGGGAAAGGCTACCTCCGCTGAGCAGGTTGCCATAAAGAGGGTACATCCTTGGGAAGAGATTGAAATTGTTGATGCCATTGATATTGTTCAAAGCGCTCAGGTTATTACAGCTCATATTGAATGGAGGTAACAGGAATTTGGGGTAATGGGGGTTATAGGACGGTAGAAAGGCAGGTGAAAGGTGGCCAGGGGGTGCATATCCAGGATAAGACCCCAATCCTTCTGAGCCATATGATCCGTTCAAGTAAGAGTATGGCTCTCTGTGCTCTTGGGAAGTAGGTGCCAGAGGTGAAACTGTGACCCCTGGACTACTGTGAGGACTTGAACTTTTTAAACTTTGGTCTGGACTACTCCTCCCAGAAGGACTTGGTGTAGTAGATGCCTGGATGGGCGAGTGAGTAATGTAGCTGGGTCTGTCCATGCTGTATGCTAAGGAAGCTTTCAAATAGTCTTCTGGAATGTGAGGTCGGATCGGGTAGACAACTCGAGGGAAGAAACACCTCTCCGGGCTATAGTTCTTACGTAAATCATCCAAGTCTTTTTCTGGAGTAACTGGTGAAATGTTGGTCTGAAAGAAGTCTTTTCCTTTAGGAGGATTTGATTCCATTTTCAGGATTTCTTTCACACTGTGCTCCTTCTTTGGGATGCTTTTCTGATAAAGCTCATCTTTATCAGTGCTGTGCTGCTTTGGATTAATGTGGGTTTGTGCTGAAACACAAAGACAAGATAATGATTATTTAGATATATCACTGGCATTATCTCTTTTCAAAACAGAATCTAACCCCTACAAGTTTAGTGGGAAGGAAGGCTACTCTCAGAGATGAGCAATCATTCAACTTGCCAGAAAACTAATTGCTGTGTGAAGAAATGCCTTCTGGTATTAAGTCTTAATAAAAAGCATTGTTAATTTAAGGGATACCAACCAGTACATAGAGATCTGGATGATGATGCATTTGCAGAGCACCAGCCCCCATTCTGCAAACTGATTTCACCTTTCTTCCCCCTTAAACCTGCCTAGCTTTGCTGTTTAATGTCTCTTTAAGCAGTATTTCTAATAAATGTGGTAACGAGCATTTGTTCACTGTACAGGTTTAACTGAAGGACTGCAGAACACAAGCTCCCAGAAATGTTCCTCAGTAAAATAACAAGGCATGACAAATCGGGTTTTGCCAAACCGCAGCAGTCACTTCACCAGCCAGTTCAATTACTTACAGTACCAAAAAAACCATGGCTGGCTAGGATGAAAGCCTTCTTCAAAGAGAAGGTATTCTCCATCAGTAAACAGATCATTACTCATTAAATATACTGCTTAGGAACATCTACAACAAAGCAGACTATTTACTGCAGATTTCTGTGGCATTCAGTCTATGCAAAACTCCTCTGCTTACAGCTGTATTTTATAAAAAAATGCTGAAGCAAAGCAAAAGAAAGCAAGACTGGTTGGCTCCAGCTTAAGTTGAAATGTGCTTTAAAAAAAAAGAGGAAAGAAATATGTATTTAGAAGGAAATAGAAGCTAGCATACATTCATCTCAGTTCAGCACATACTCTGTTTGTATTCAAAGACCTTGCTTTCTGGACATAATTACAATCTTAACAGCACACTGAAAGATGACTTCAGTAGAAAAACAAATCTGCCTTTATCCTTGTTACATAATCTTGATTACTTCTGAGATATTTTATTATAGGGGGGAAAACTACAAGAATCTTAATTAGTTCATAATCATAGCTAGTTAGTGCAAGGCTTTCCATCAGGAGGTACAAGCCAATACCAGTAGGTACGTGATTCAAAAACACTGCAATCCTTTAGCAACATTTCTGCTTCTGTGACTGACTGCTCTTACTTCACTATCTGAGGTGAGAAACAGTTATTTCTGATTTTTGGAGGATCATCTGAACCAAGTGAGGAACGTGAGAACAGGCAATGACCACGCAGCATTCAACACGGATTCTTTGCTTCACTATTCACTACCCTGATGGAATCTATCATTTGCCAACATTACCCTATAAGGCAAAGAAGCAGCCATTTATTAAACGTATCCAAGAAAACAGCTGCTTTCAAAGCATGCTCCTACTTACAGCAACCCACTTTACAGTAGTATCCTTTTTGAAATGGCATTAGACTAGTAACAAGCAAATTTAGTTTGAGATTTAGGTTGAGATTTTTGAGTTTGACTTTGTGTATTTTCAAGCTCCAGTGAAATGCAATTGAACACAGTTAAGTTCAATTAAAATATTTATGACAAAACTTAAAAGTGCTGTACAGCAAGCATGTGCACACATAAGCAGATAGGGTCCAAATTATTTTTCTTGGTGTCCAAAGGTTAATGCGGAGCTGTATCAAAAATAAAGTAATAACATGTTGTATTTTCTGGCTTTAAAAACATCTGCATTCTTTGGTAATTTTGTCTGTACTCCTGGACTGGTAACTCATTTTCTAAATGTCTACCAGATTTTTGGGCATAGCATAGAGGTCCTACTAGGTTCAAGAAGCTCCACAATGGCACTGTAGATAATACTATCTGGATCTTCTTATCTGCTGCCTTTCACCACAGCAGTGTCTCAGAGCAAACATTCCTGGTGACACTATCAGCCTTGGGAAGTATCAAAACCAGGCAGTATTGAAAACTGGACAGAGGCGGTGGGAGGCAGGACTTGTGAAGCCTTGCAGCAGGAAAAATAAATAAATACCACTTTATCAGGCCCATATCAGTTTCTCAGTGGGGTCTGTCAAGCAGGAAGTTCAAATTGACACTTTTCTCTTTCAAAGAAAAAAACCCGGGGGAGGGGAAGAGGAAGGAGAAATGCTGGTGGTGCTGGAAAAGTGATAGAGAAACTGGGGCCACTTCATCTGGAGAAACAGCTCCCACTGTCACAAGATTAAACATGAGGGCGGGGATGTACGTGCCTTATGTGCAGGAGCAAGCCCAGGAGTGACAGAAAGGAAGCTCATGCAGTGATCGTAACATTCTTTGTGCAACAATCTCATGCTCTCTTATTGACTAACTAAAGATAATTGCTCCTTTCTCCACTATTGAATTTTCCCAGTAAAGCTGTCCCTCCTACTAATTTCCATGTGTAGGCAGAAGTTGTGATGTTTAAAGATTGTTTTTCAAGTCTAACTGTGACAGCTTTCTTTAGTTTGCAAGCTATCTTTGGTCCATAAATCCCCTCTTAGCTTTTTCCCTTATTACCTGAGCACAAGGGACACTTGGGAACACCGAAGAGATCAAAACATAAACAAGTGTGTCAGCACTGTGTAAAATAAGAGAAGGTAATGTTCGGGGCCAAGGAGAGGTTCTTAAGTTTTATACTGAAGGTGGATTTAAACCAGGGCTGAAACTGATTGAGAGGTTTACAACCTTTCTTGTTGCTCTTAAAGGAGCCATGCTTCAAAGTTCAAGAGATGTATTTCTTATTGTGATCTTAAAGCTTTTACCAATCAGAATGTCTCCCATTCACTCTTGAAATGCATTTCTTCCCCTCACCCCCATACATACACACACACACATATACAGTAAATATAGGCACATACTCTTCCAAGATCTGTCTAGTTTCTGTGGTCAGAGAGACACACAGAAAAGAGATTCATGACAAAATAAGAATGGTGCAGCTGCATTTTAAAGTTACTGATCTGAGGGGAGTGGGGGGGGAAGAAAGAAAAAAAACCTCAGACGTGCCTCTTGAGGAGCTTGATCCATTTCTAACTGAGGTCAACAGATTATTTGCTCGATCTGAGATTAGTGAGTGCATGCAAGAGGAAAAGGGACAAAACTCCTGTTACTTTTAGGTATTAATAAAACTTGAGTGAAGGAGCTGCCTGAAGTGACTCCAGTGTGGGTGTTCCAGCTACAGACTGCTGCAGAGCTACAGACTTTGCTCTCAGTTCTTGTGCTCCGAGCTGTAGCCTGAGAAACATTTCGTAAAAACAATGATCTGTTCTTTTCTAAAAACTTGAAAAACGGTTGTAAGCAGACAGTAATTTCAATAGTAATTTCAGGAGTGAGATGGTACTGAACACTTCGAGTGGTAGAGCTTAATTATGCCAATTCACATTTTCGATCTAAATTAAGCACCTCTTTTGCTAGTAGGAAGAGAACCTCGAAGTTGTGAACCGGGCAAAACAAAGACTGTTTCCACTCAAAATGAGAACAGTGACCAACATTTAGAAGTACATAATTTGATCATCTGTTTTCTAAATGTGTCTATGGCAGTGTGACGTGCCTTTGAAAACTTTTTGCTCAGAGAAGATCTTTCTGAGAGCCTTCAAATAATTCTCAGTATATAGACAACTTCAGTCCCCAAATTCTGATTTTGTGAAGACAGCCTCTCATATCATTTAAAAATCATTTTCCTGAGCCCTTTTGAACATTCCAGGAGGCATTTTTTTAAGCAAGTGCAGATGTTTCCTCTCAACCCAAACAGAAAAGCTTCAAAAACCAGAAAGTGAAACTGCCCATAAACAAAAGGGAAAGCGAGCGACAGGACTGAGCTAACGGCCAGCATGTCAGGGCCAGCAGGAAGAAGAGAAGAATAAATCACATTTAAGAAAAAAGCATTAAAAACTCTATCTTCATAGAACTGGAAACATTTTAAATAATGTCTCATTAAACCTGTTAATGAAACAAAAAAATTGCAAAATATTTTGTAAATATGCAAATTATCTTCCCCCAGCTTGAACTTTTTTTCTGAAGCTTGACCAAAAGATGTCACCTGCCCGTACTTGACTGAGGAGACAAACATGACATGAGCAGCAGGAAGTTGCATCATATGATTGCAATATATGAACATTATTATCAAATTGTCATGTCCTGAGTCAATGCAATTGTTTGGATTTTGTTGGGTTTTTGTTGTTTGGTTTTGGGTTTTTTTTTAACTATTACCCTCTCCACCCCTCCATCCCAAAATAATCCTCCCATGTTAAGGTAAGAATGAAATTCTAAACCCTTTGGAACCACCAAACCAATTTTCCTCAGTGTTTGCTAAATAAAGTATCACAGACCAGAAGACAATCTGAAGGAGCAGTTGAATGAGGTTAAGCACATTTAGCAAATTACTGAAAAATTCTTTTTAGCAGAATACAAAAATCTTGTGCCACCATACTTAAAACTACTTACTGGACAATGGCACCATCTGAAGGTGACATCTCAAATTTTGACAGAAAACATCAGGGGCCTCAAAACAGGCAGGAAGGGAATGACACTTGAGTTTCCAGCACTGGGATAATGTGGAGTCTTGCCTCTACCACTATTGTGCAACTCTTTGCAGGCACTTCAACATCCATTTGAAGTTACATAGCTCCACTCAGAGCTAATCATGGCTGTGAAGGTAGGTGTGTGCTCCAGCGTCTGAAGGACTGGGTCAAAGGCCCCAATTCAGGAAAACACAGAGGACAGGGTTAAACCCACAACTAAGTACCTGCCTAATTGCTGTCTTGGATCTGGATGCTTTCCTTCTGCGGCACAAATGAACTAATGCTGGGGAAGTTACCTTTAATTTGAAAGTTTGCTGTTACAGATGCAAGTAGATGTTACATGTGGGTGTGTAAATACATTTCTTCTCTAAAGTGGTAGTTCTCTCATTTTTGAGGCCACTAATTACAGGAAATAAAGCCAGAGAAATTCCCTGATATGTTTTTCCCCAGAGGCCCATCCTGCTCTGGTGCTTAAAGAGGAACTAAGGTGCTGAACTCTAAGGCTGTGATCCCCAAACCCTTGAGGCACTTAAAGCAGCTGCCTATATTTTAAGTTGGCAAGACTGTAAGGTCTCTAGGTGTGTGTCCCAGGTGGCCTCTCCTGTGCTGGGCAGCCAGCCAAGGTACGACTCTTCCAAAGCCTCCCACGGGCACCAGTGTGCACTGCACACCCAAGACACAGTGGAGGGAGAGATCTGGGTGCCACACACCATGGCCACTGGCTGCCTCCTGCCCACACCAGAATGTGTCCCATGGAGGAGGCCCTGAATTCAGCCTGCCTCTCAGGACCCCGAACCAAATTTCCCCTCCCTCCTCCTCAGTGGGTGCCAAAACCAGCAGCCAAGAGCTGTGAGAAGTGGTAATACACCCCTGCTCTTCTGAGGGAAGCCATATCACTTTAAACACCAAATTATTAGCAATCCATTTGGCTGGAGAGGACTTTCCTGACTTCTTAGCAGGTTGTGGGGGCAGAGGTCCCCTCAAACAAGGCTGTGTTCAGATGTTTTGCTGGGCCAAAGCCTGGTCTGCAGCAGCTGCAGGATGCCAGCAAACTGGGGACAACCCCTCTGTTCTTTACTCATGGATGAAGGCAGTGCCAGGGTACCTTGGCCAGCCTTTGTAACAGAGAGAGAGAGGCTGGAGAGGCAGCACAATGCTCTCTAATTTTAGATTTAACTAGTGGCCTGGGAGAAAGGAGCAGAAGAAAGCTAAAGATTGCTGGCATTCATGGTAAACTCATCTGGTTCCAGTACTAATGCTGGAAAAACCACCCCTGCTTGCACCATTGCTACAGGGACTTTGGCAAATAAGGGTCTTTGGGAGACTTTTGGATTTTTCTTCCACACTTTTCAAAAGGCTAACTTTAGAAAACCTCAATCCTTATGGTACCTGTAGGGTTTTTGGCCCATCTGCAGGCTTCAGGCCTGAATGTGTTGCTCACAAGAATGAGGGGAAAAGAAAAAAAAAAAAGGTGAAAAGTTTTTCTCATTTTCTGAACTGTTATTTTCTTTAGGTGGAAGGAGCTAACATAAAATTTCTAAGTGGTTTAAATATAATTATCTTAAAAAAGAGAAGAATGTCTATTTCAAACTCAGCATCTGGAAATACTGCAAATATGAAGGCTGAACTACAAAATTGTGGATCAAGTTCCCATGTCTTTAAATCCTTGTATTGAGCTTACTACTTTTACTAAAACCAGTTATTCTGCTATGTCCAGACACCCCTAGTTTTGACCTGATTAAGAGTAATTGGACAGAGTAAGAAACATTTTACAAATACATTAATTGCTACTTCTGCAAGGAAGCCTAAGGTGCCAGCAGATGCAGGAAACCGATCCTGTGTTTGTGTGTCCTCCTAGCTAGTGGCCAAATGTGGCTGAGTAGATTTTAGCAAACTCCTCATCCACCAGAGCCCTACATGCTGTTGTCTCATCTCACCTGCAGGTCCCACAGTTCATTATATCAGGAAATAAAACTGCACAGAGAGTGATGAAATGACAGATGTGCAAAGATGACAGAATCAGTGAGATAGTTTTTGAACAGAGAATATAGCTGCATAAGACATTCCCTCCCTCTCTTGCCTCTGTCATAAGGAGACAACAAGTCTTCTTCTATTAATTTGTAGGGAAAGACAAAAAGCTAGTGAAAGGGTGACACCCACAGAGTATAGATGTACTTTTGACTAATATGAATGTGTGATATAATTTTTATAATATGGGATGACAGTTCTAATGATCCCCAAAGTAACACTGATATTTTACAACCCATTCCTTGTTGCCAAATAACCATAAATAGTTCTTTTATAAAAACAAAACAAAACAAACTGCTTGCAGTTTTCCCTTCAAGTTTCAGTGTAGTCACTGGCAGAAGGACAAAAGAATACTCTGCTCTATCTTAGAGCAGCAGCAGGGGAAGCAGCCTAAGAGACCACTGACAAGTCAGCAAGAATCTTTCCTTCTCTAGAAGGGGCTCTGGGTGAGGCGTCAGGCAGTGATTAAGTGAGAAGTAAAGTACCAAGGCTGGAAATAATCAGAAACCACAGAGGAACACAAACCCCTGGAAACACCTCTTCCCTCTGCTACCAGTGCTATTATTTTTGAACAGAAAATGAAAGTTGCAATATAAAGTCAAGAAATGGGGACAAAGTACACTGAGCTTAAAGTACAAGTAACCAGATGAGAAGACCACAGAAGGTTTGCTCCCACAAGATAAATAAGTGTAGATGCAAGGCTCAAAGTGCATTATGCAGTAAACATGTATTTTGTCAGACACCTAGACAGAGTCATGGCACATTGCCACTTCCTGGTACAGTGAGGGCAGCCCTTTGGGAGCATGACTGGACAGCTTTTAGTACATGCTACCAAAGCAGACTTTTGCTCAGCGCACTGTGAGATTTGAAACTGGAAAGTCTGAGAGTGAACCAACAGCTATGGTTAGGAAGACAGAGGTCAGGTTGTCTGTCCAGAATTTCACCAGATAAGATTCAGATTGTAAACAAGCAACTCCTCAGATTTTAGAATCTCTTTACATTTGAACAGGCACAGGGAACTCATTCTCTTGTGTAGGGTTTTTTAATTCCCCTTTTCCACTCCAAGCTACCTCCTGTGACACAACAGATGATGCAGCTGTGTAATTATACAACTTATTATTAGATCGTATAGGCATAAGAGACATTACTAGCATTCCTTGTTTATACTGTAATCCACTTACTGAGGTTCATCATTGTCAGCTCTCTGGAGGGGGGATAGTGCAGCCTCTCTGCAAAGTCTCGGCAATACCACACAAGCAGCTCTTGGTTGGCAGGGATGGGCTTGATGGTATAGAAGTAGATGTTCATTCCATTCTGACAAGCAGCCAAGTTCTGCTCCTGAACAGAGTAGCCAGGGTTTACATAACGCATCCAGTTGCTCTTGTCCTCATTAAATCCATCAATGAAGTGATGAAGTTCACCACTTGAATAGATCTGGAATAGAGAGGAAGTGCTTATGAATGCATATACATATTATATATATATATATAGAGAGCATATATATATAATACACAACATGTATGTACAGAATCCAATGGGGAAAAGTGATAAGGTCCAAGCTCCCTTTTTTTTTTTAAGATGAGCATATATTACTGAAGTAAGAGTCCAAGCTGTGTTCCTGCCTTTCCAACAGTGACATCCTCTGAGTTAAGAAAGTATTTAAAAGCAAGTCCACAGTCACCTTTTCCATTTAATCTTAGCCAATGTCATTGCTAGCCTGGGAAAACAAGACCCAAAATCTGAAATGCAGAGTACTCTGTGTGAACAGTCTACCTTAGAGTCCTTTTCCTGGTGCTCTGATCAACAAGTGGGTGATGCTGATGACTGCAGGTCTGAGTGCATGCTTGCATTAATGCTTTGAGTCACCTGTATATAAGACTGGCTGGCTGTGCTACGTCAAGAGTTCTTCTCTTCTGGCCTCTTTCTATGGCCTCTGTACTTGCAGTTTCCTACCACCTCCACCCAAAGGTTTAAACTATGCAAACATTCTCCACCCCCCAGAGTCCTAAAGCAACACTTGCTCATAGTTGCACTGTAACCCTTTTGTAGGAAGGCTGGGTGAGGCAAAGATGAAATTCACCTGCCATAACTGAAGGAAGACCTGGAGAGGGATTATTAGCCCATGAGATGTCACTTTTCCTACTAAGGGACATGTTCTGACTTGTCCACAGAGGGGCAAGAAAACACGAATCTGAAAACTGCTCAGTGGTTTTGGGAGAAAGAAGTTCCCATCACTGACAGAAGCTATTGTTTCTTGAAATGGTAAGAATAAGAGAATTATTAAAATCAAATCAAATCAAAAGCGATCCAGGAAACACACTTGTAAAAACACACTGCTTACGCTCATGGGGAACTAGCTCTGTGCTGGATGAAATGGGGCTCCTGTTTTTCTGAAAACAGATGACCAGGCAAAAGCCAGACCTTGAAGTGGGAGTAGCTTGCACCAGCAACGCACCTCGCTGAGCAGGAAATGCTTTTCCAAAGGGGAGACAGAGCTTATCTCATGGAGAAAACACTCCTCGGGGTGTCCCTGCCCGTGCGTCCTCACCACTGTGTCTCGCACCTCCCCGGCCCGGCCGGCCGGGACCCTCCTGCGCTCCCCGGAGCCCGGCGGGCAGAGAGGGGAGGCGGCCGGGCCCTTTAAAGCGGGCCGTAAACACCAGAATCACTTTCTTTAAGAGTAACTTCCTGTAAACTGAGAAGGGGGAAATACATGTGGCCTCATCAAAGCAGCTTGCGAGAGATTTTGCGGTGTGTTTGTTATGAGAAAATGGAAGGGAGCCGGGCGAGTTGTGCTGCATCAAGAGGAGCCTTCGGGTTTCTCTGTTCACCCCGGCTCGCAAACTTCCAGGAACGCGGGGCTCTGGCGCTTGACGCCTGCCACCACTTCCCAAACGAGCCCTCCACCGCTCCCACGTCAGGGCCACAGCTCCGACTCCCCGGCAGAGGCACCCACCAGCTCCCACCTATTGTGGGGAAGGCGCGCCCAGATGTGCTGAGTCACGGCGCGGTTCCCAGAAATGACGCGGGCCCGGGCGGCCCCGCTCCCCTGGCGCGGGCAGCGTCCCCGGGCGCCCAGCAGATGTTCCCGCTCCTACCAGCGAGCCCAGGATGCCTTTAATCACATGTGGGAAGTTATCTCCCACAATTTCCTTTGCATATGCGAGCCTGTGTCAGACCCCTAGGAAGGAATTAATTTTCAGTGCAGCAGTCTGTCTTGAACGAATCAAAAGATTATAACAGGGAATTTAATGATGCTTAGATGGCTCCTAGGATATTATTTCTGAGGATCCCTCCGCATTAAAGCTTACAATCACATCATAAGAATGATGTCATCTTTCTCACTGCAATGTAGGAATGAAGTCCTGCAAGATGGTTATCAGCCCCTTTTCCCTGTGTCTGCTGTCTTACAAACAACTGGAGGGGCTAGGGTCAGCCGACTGGTCTCTTCCTAGACTGGACACAAGCTTCCAAAAGGTTCAGCAAAAAGAAACATTTGTGGCCTTATTAATGTGAAAACAGTTGCCTGGTCTGTAAAAAACCTCACACAAATAACTACCTGTGCAATGCTGTATTACATCGTACAAAGACAATCTGAGAAAACCAAAATGATTCAATTAGGTAGGAAGAAAGGGGTGTGGGGAATGCTGGTGCATGCCCTGGGTTTCACCTGGATATGAGGTTGGGATATTACTAAGGCAGGCAGGCACCTGAGCACAGAGGCTTGGACACAGTCCCAAATCCACGGATTTAGACACAACCTACATGGCTAGAAGGCAGCAAAACAAATCCGTGGAATGAGATGGGGCTGAAGGAATGCTCTCTAACAATTAAGAATGTGTCTGTAAGGAAAATGAGGATTATGTCAGCTGATAAACTGGAAGCATATTCCCCAGCACAGACTGCCCAAGCCAAAACATATTGGCTACTGCTCTCTTCCAGCTTATACTATGGTGTACAAATAAACACCTCTGGTGTTTATCTCTTTTCCCTTTGCTAAGATCCATGAGCTGCTCTTTTAACAATTCTGAGGAGACCTAGAAAAATCTATGAATTCAATGATATATGCTGAAGACTATCACCACTGTGTTATAACAGCTTTATACAAGACGCAGGAAAAAATGTCAGAAGATGTATCATAATTCCAGAGTGAACGTTTGTGCAGTACTTTAACAGCTTCTTCATGGAAGAATCAAGGACATGATACTTGCATAAATCAGAATGACTTTCCGCTGTGAAGAAATGCAAAATAACTTGCTCTTACAGCAAGCAGCAGAACTATTTCTTTACAGAATCGGCACAGATACATTTTGGAAAACAGAGCCAGGAAGGGCTGTGCATCCCCACTGCTCTCTCCACCCACACAGTCCCTACATCCAAGACAGCCAGGCTTTTACTCAGCTTAATGCACCCACTGGTCCTGTTTGTGCCTGGCCACATACAGAGGCTGTCCCCTGCATCACACAGCAGGAAGTGACCCAGCTTCTCAGCCGTACTCATTTAGTGATCTGCTTACTGCAACAACATGGGGCTGTTTTTTCCTACTTACCCGCCAAAAGTATTTTCTGTTTGCATTCTTGGGAACAGTATCACTGGTATAGATCTCTCCTACCAGGGGTCCAAAGCGTGTTCCTTTTGGGATGTACTCTTTGCTTATAACTCCAGTGACCTACAAGAAGAGCACCACAGGATCAGTCCATTGCCAAGAGAAAACGAGAAGTCTCCCTAGTCTCCCTCTTCTCCCCTGTCCCCCCAGCAAATGTAACAAGGTAAAGCAAACAATGCAAGAAATTTTTTGTGATAGGTCAGCAAAGCAGAAATAAATAAATGAACAACCACGTTGGTTACAATACGAACAGTTTTGTCAGGTACTAACATTTTCAATATCATTTTCCTAAAACATATGGAAGTTAATGATGAATACCACCTTAAAGATGTGCTTTTTGGAAATACATTTACAGGAAGAAACAGTAAGCAAAATGTAGAGACTGTCAAATATCTTCAGAAGTTATTTTTCCTATCAAAGGCAGCCCCTAAAAGTCTAGTTTCAGCAAACAAAAATATGCAATATCTATCAATCACTTCACTGCTACAGAGCTTGCTTTTCTAATAAGTTAGGAACTGGAATGACTGCTCTTCCAGATCAAAATGAAACCACCCTCCACCCCTTTCCATTCTTCAGTCTATACCCACCCTGATAGCTAAAAGGAGAACACAAAAAAACCAAACCAAACAAAACAAAACCAAACCCAAAAAAACCAAACACCTTCAGTTCTCTTACCAGCATACAGTGGCATACAAAACAGAATATGAAATGGCTCTGGCACATGTACTCACAGGTCACCTTCTTGTACAAAAATGAATCATCAGTTATCATCAGATAACATATATCAAGTGCATTTGGTAAAAAAAGGTGTAAGGATTTTGAAGAAAATGCTCCACTATGCTGGGTCTAAGAAATGTACTCTGGTTGTTCAGCTTCCTTCTTGACAGTAATTATACCAAAAAAAGTCACTGACCACAAATCAGGAAGCAATTCATCATTATTCAGAAGAACGTGCCTTGGAGTAACCCTTTGCAAAACACTGCTGAGTTATTGGTTTTGTCTCTCTGTTTCTCACCAATCTTTTTAAATTTAATGTATCCAAACAACGTTACAAAACCAATAATTTTGTAAACCAAAAACCCCAAGCCTTTTCAAGATTGATCCTGCTGCTCAGATAGTGGGGAAAAAAAGAAGGTAAAAAGCCCATTAATTTGGTATTATAACCAAATACATTGTAAACTCTCATGGCAAAATATATTAAACATATCCCCTTCAGACATCTTGCCACTTGTCTTTTTGCTCACCAGGATTTCAGAACAAGACAGGAACACCAGAAGTAGTTGAGAAAGACTGAGAACTGGGATTACTGCTGTCTGTACCCCACGAGGAGTTGATGTCCTTACCAAAGGAGATTAGCGCTTGTCAGACCCTACAGATAGCTCACTTCAGTAAGATTTTCTATTTCTTTTAACAGTCCTTCTCAGCAAAGAGTGGTAAAAACCTTGGACTGTATGTAGGCAGCATTTCACAAATTAGCTAAGCCTTCTTATTTTCTCATGCTACATTTTCTTACACTATGTGAGAGGCAGAGAAATCCTTGCCTGTGTACTGGTCAAGATTAAAAATCCCAGTAAAAAATGAACACCTAGCATAATTTCCTGTTAAATGTCAAAATAAAGGGGCCAAATAACAGCCATGGATTCAAGGAATCACCTGGAAACAGATTGTTGGGTTTACGTGGTGGCTGTTTGTACTAGTTTGCATTTTAACATATGTTTTCAGCACACTACAAAGAAAAAAAAATTTAAAACATCAACAGCAGAGGTAGTTAAATGCTCCATTGATCTGTGCATCTGGACTGAAGAGAGAGAAGAGGGACTTCCAGAAATTTTCTTACACCTACCATATGCTGAAACAAGCTCAGTGGCTCAGTTTTATTTTTGTCTTGCTTGTACATGTCTCATAAAGAGCTGAAAAAGGCAGATGTTCTTCTCATTTTCCCTATATATCTTCATTTACATCCATCTGCCCTCTCAAGAATAGTTCACAACCAAGCTACAAGCACACCCTGCCAGTTTTACTGCATGATAGCTTGAGATTTTTCATGGTTTTAAAAATACCTTGGCCTTAATTAAAATGACTTTAATGAAATTCTCAGAATCTCTAGAAATCCCTCCTTGAACCAGTCAACTTGAAACAGTCTCTGACACAGCAGATACTTTTTGATATCCACCTTACATACAGCGTTTGTGTTCAGCTATGTTGGGGGAGAAGCAAAGATCATTTCTCAGCCCATACCTATCAGAATTTGGCAGAAGAGGTTCTGCACATCTGTGTGTGCCAACACTGAAGTTTTGCTAAACCAGGCTACAAAGCTCTCTAGATGACTTTTAGCTGACGGTGGCTCTCAGGTCAGCAATTCCCGGCCTCCGCTGTTCCCTCTCAAGCTCAGCTGCTGGGGTCGATGAGGGGCACCCTCTGGGAGAAGGGTGCCCGCAGTGCCAAAGCAGCCAAGGCTCCAGGCTGCCGGCAGCCCCCCTGCCGCAGCCAAAAGCGGCTCCTGTCCCGCAGCTCAGCGGGGGCGGCTTGAGAAGAGGCCGGAAAGCTGTGAGCTGCCGAGGGCTGGCAGGCAGGACAGCGGCGCAGCTCCGGGTCGGGAGCCGGGGGTGAGCCGCCCCGGGGCTGCCGGAGGGCTGTGCCAGAGCAGCACTTCGGAGCTGCGTCCACCAGGTGTCCTCCAGCGCGCCGCTCCGCCCGCGGGGAGCCCTTCCCGGGAGCCCGGCGCGGGCGCTCCCCAGCGCGGAGCCCTTCTGCCGCCGCCCGGGCGCTGCCTGCGAGGCCCGCACCTCGCCACACGGCAGCCACGGGCTGCTTCCCCCCCGGTTCCTCTCCACAGGCGCGTACCCCTTCTCCCTTCAAAGCTCCCAGCGCTCCGCCGCGTCCCTCCTCTCCGTACAAGAGCATTTCCAGCAGGAAGGTGCAGCCCGGCGGCAGCCGGGACCCGCTGCCCGAGCGGGGCGGCTGCGAGCGGCGCCCGGGCGCGCTGGCGGGGACAGCGCGGCCGCCGGCGCGCCGGCCCGGCGGGGGCAGCCCGGGGCCGGCAGCAGCCCGGGACGGCGGCCCTGGAACTGACCAGGGTCCTAATGCTGCGCCGGGGGCCGGGCACGCCTGGGGCCCGCCTGGCCCGCTCAGCACATCCCGGCCTGCCCGCGGCCCCCCGGCATGAGGCTGGTGGGCTCCGGTCCCAAATCTGATCTGAGATGGCGCTTTGGATGATCAACGCTCCTGCATCTTTGTCTGGGGAGAGGGCACTGAAGTAAAACAACGACTCCTGCTAATTCTGCAAGTATTTTGCAATGGGACCACTAAGCTGCTTTAAAAAACCAAAACACCGAACAAACTCTTATTGGCTTCATTAAAACAGCAGTAGTCTCCACACGCAAATAGGGCAGGCCGTCATGTGTCCCGAATTAACACTGATTTTAATTTTTTTTAGCTACTAGTTCTATAGTTACGTATTTTTTACTCCTTTGTTCAGTGACCAGTTTCCTAAAAGTGATGCCACAAAATTGAATGCTTTCAGATGGCTTCCTCGGCAACCACATAAAAAATAAATAAAAGCAATAGGGGAGAGCAAGTGCCTGAGGTCAGTGAGGCACAGTTCCTAACAGCTCAAAATCACTGCTTTCACCAAAATCACTGATTCAGGGTCTGTCTCTAAGAGATGGCCTTATCAGAGATATGCAACAGTAATGGGTGGTTTGCGGAGATATGTTTTTCTCTGTCAAAGCTCACACACCAGGATGAGATAATAGTAATATTCAAGACAGCAGAGTAACTGTAATTTTATATCAAGAAGGGCTGTTTGGGCTTTAAGCACTGAGACTAAGGAGAAGTTTATTGAAAAAAATATTTTTAAATGTCTGCATGAAAAGATCATTCACATATGGCCTTCTAGAGCATAAGCTTGACACCACATTTCATAATTTTTTGACAATTGCCAAAACTGGTGGGAAGGATAAATAATTCATGCATAGAAATAAATAAATTACTTCAAGTAGATCCAACAGCCTAAAATGTTATAAGCAGTAGTAATTAATTTTTTAAAATGCTGACACATTCTGTGAACTCACAGCAAAAAATATGTTCTTCAGAAAAGTCCCTGATCAAGATCCAAGAATAAACAAGAGTATGATGACGTGTCATGGACTCCCTTGCAAATTGCATAAACCTTTAAAGAGGAGCTCCACAAAGCATGAAAGGAGAAGATATAGAAAAAGCAGCCCTCCCCAAATAGCAGCGGCCGTACTTCCTCCCTCCTAAGCAGGCACGCAGTACTTTTCCTGCTCCAGCTGGAGATACAATACTAATCGTGACAGCACTAGGATTTCATGATCTAATCATGACAGTATCAGCATTTCACAAGTGATATATTATTTATGCTTTTTTGACAATAAACTGACTCAGCATTTAAAACTCTCAACCAGATGAAGCCACAGTTCTCCCCAAAGTTAACAATGAAGACAGCTCACATCTGAAACCCACTGGCAAACACGCACACATGCATCCCCCAAAGTCTTACCTCATCCTTTTCTAAGTGAAAAAAAACCCACTCTCCCAAGCTGTCAGGACTCTAGTGGTTTTCCATGAGGTCAAAACCAGAATCAGGCTCCCTCACTGACCCACAAACACCAACATGCAAAAGCAACACATGTACTCAGTCCTGACCCCACTAAACAAAATCGAATTTGGAAGGCAGACAGAAAAGAAATGCAGTGTTTCATGTCAGAAGTTACTAGCACACAAGCGGATTATGCCATTTACAACTACTTCACCCTGCGGATAAGTAGCAAATGAGAGAGTAGCCTTCACAGAAGGTAGAGTAGCTTCCCAGAAGGTGGGCAAAAGAGCACATCATAAAGGCCCTTCCTTTCAGAGCTACCTTAAAGATAGTCATGGTTTAAAAGCTCCTATAGCTCCTTAGGGTAGGTGCAATTCAGCACAAATGAAAGACCGGGGGGAGCTTTTGGAGAACAAAAGGAGGATGTCCTATATTCAGACTCCCACTAACAGGGAGCTGCACGGGTCACATTTTACAAGAAAGAACCAGCAATCTTTCAACAACTTCTCTCTCCCCCCACCTCTTATACAGAGATGGCAGCAAGCCTCCTGATTCACTGACCTGAGCCAGGGAATAAGGAAATTACACCTTGGTGTTTCCAAACATGGTGTTGGGAATTTTGAAAGCTCTTTGGATGTCTCCAGCCACAGCAGCAGGACTCGACAGGGCCAGAGAGAGCAAGCAGCCTCAGCAGCCAATCAGTCATCAGCCGGCGGCCAAGGACCGACCCGAGCTGTCACACTGCAAGCTCAATCCTCAACTCATCCTTCAATCAAGAAATCCTCCTGTATCCCATGGCAGAGTCTCAGCTTTATTTCCCTCTTCACACCAAACTAAAACCTATCTAACAATGCAATAACACAAAACCAGGTTTAACACTTCTTTTCTGAAGCATGACCTTTCTCTGCCAAAGCTCTGCAGGGCAGGGCAGGGCAGATGGGAAGAGAAGAGAAGAGGGATTTTAAGGTGAATTTCGCTTTAACTTCTTACCAAACATACTTGGCACTCTATTAGGCACTGCCAAGCTAAATTCCACGGTGTCAGCACCCTTCAGTTGGGGGTCTGGCCCTATTTCTGTACACAGGATTAAACGAGTACCTGCTCTGGAAGGAAATATTTGATAGACACAGATGACTGTACCTCTCCTTTTCAGCTCTGTGGTCAATATGTTTAGCCAAAGCAGAAGCACAGGTAATAGTTGCTATACCACAAGTCTCAGCACAAGGAGAAATGAAGGGTTGTCCCCTGGGTTGTTACGCTAACGAACATCACACCTAGCTATAATAGCTACTCTATACGAAGGAGTAAACACAAAACCAAATTGCTCATCCAGGCTTGTTTCTTTCCAGCCCTTCTGAAACAACAACAAAGAATGTACCCACTCCAGGGACAAGGATAGGACAGACTCGCATGGCTAGCTACCGGTGAAGATACTGTCCCAGATAAACAAAAGTTAATTTAAGCTACGGCCACCCTTCTGTCAAACTTGCTACAGTTCTACCATTACTTCCTTAACCGACATGCCAGAGTTTTTAAGAATTTAGGAAGTTGGGACTACAACAAGCTCACGAAAAGAATAAAGCAATTTCATAACCAAAGGGAAAACAAAAAGAAATAATTAAACACATTTCCAGGAATTTGGTTTTTTTTTTTTTTTCCCTTTACTTTTTTAAAGCTATTTATTGGACAACCGAGGCACTTTAATCTCTGAGCCAGAGGCAATGAATGGTCCTGGCAAACAGCAGCCTAGAAATTGGCACAAAGAACTACCCCACAGTTTAAATATGCTTATTCAGATGCTGTTCAAATTGTGTGAAAATTTAACTGTTTGTGAATTGGTACAGAACCAGTTTCAGGGATAGGCTGTCTGCAATTTTCAGTGTAAATATTACACAACAGATGACCAGCACACAGTTTCTTAAAAGAGTTATTAGGGTCGCATATTAAAAGCCAGCGGGCAGCATTTGTTGTTGTTGGTAGGGTGTGTGTGTGTGTGTATGCTAAAGAATCAAAGACAGGGTGAGCACACGCTTTCCAAAGCGCTGTGATTTGGCTTGTCTGACTCCAACCTTCCCCAGAGCACTGCCGCTTACCTCTTTGCAGTTAGATGCGTATTTGAAAGTCAAGTTCCTTGGCAAGGAAGCCTCTGCCTGAGTTAGGGTGCCTCCATCGGCACTGGGATCCAGCGGGTGATCATTTACAATATATGTGCACTTCTCTTCAAAATCAGCCTCTGTCCACAGAGTCATGTCAGCATCCTCCATGTCCATTTTCATTGTCCACTCTCTCCCTTTCACCAAATTCTTGAAACTCACAGCGTCCGAGCTACACTGTGTAGCAGCCTGGAAAAAAAGAAAACAGCCTTTAATCCTCATTGTCCTTCGGTGTTGTGGTTTCCGTTGATACAGTGTGACTAATTCAGTAGTCTGTGACACTTTGAAAGTGTATGCAGGATAGTTGGTACAGTTGAGTAATAGCCAAAAAGCAGTGTAAACGAAGCTGCTCTGACTGAAGCAGCACTTTAAAATGCCAGCCTCTGTAGTAATGAGGGAACAAAACAAAGAGGAGAAAATCCCTAGGCTGTGACAACAACTTTACCTTTTTCAGACCCTTTCCTTAAAGCTTCAGAGAGAAAATAATATTCCGTGCTGAAGAAAATGTGGGGTCATGGCCGTGAGACCACTTAGTCGCCTGTGGAAAAGCTGCTTCGGAAAAGTGTCACACAAACAAGGAGAGGAAGAGGAAAGGAACTGCTGTCTGCGTCTGAATGAAGCTAAAAATGGAAAGCGCATGTTGGAAGAGCGGAACCCAGCCTTGCCTCTTCCAAATGGGGAAGCCTGAACTTTCCCACCGGCTTTCAACACACAAACAACTTTCAAAACAACCTGGCCCCCCCGCCTCCTCCTGACGTCCCCTTATCCTTTGGCATGGAAGGCTGAGAAAGCCGACATCCTGCCAGCATCACTGTAGCAGCAGCAGCCCTGCACAAGGCACTGCAACATGTTCCTGGGGGTCAAACCAGAAAAGGAGCAGGGGAAATAAATAAAATAAGTAATATTTTAAAAAGTTATTCTATCCCTTTTGATTATGATGGTACCTCCTAGAATTAGTATCCCAAAGCAGTGGATATGAGCGCAGCAAGACAGTTCCAGCAAGTCCTTCAGCCCCTCTGTTCAGGACAGAAGCACTGTTACCAAACCTATCCTCGAACATGTATTAGTGTCAGGCTCTTTCCATAAGGTTCATGAGGAACCAAAATCTGTGCCTACACCGGTAGCTGAGAATGACACTCGATACCGCGTAAAATCCCTTCATTTTTCCTTTTTGGATACGCAGCTACTATGAAATTCACACCCCTCCTCCGGGAAAAACGAAACACGAAGACTGAAAGAGCACGATCTTCCGAGAAAGAGGTTAAATGCTGACTGACTGTGGGTTCGGGGGAGACCCCCGGCGCGCCCCGGGACCGGCTCTCCCGGGGAGGCGCAGACCGAAGAGGCTGAGGCGGGGGTCGCGACAATACACAGCCCCCCCGCGGCCGCCGCCGCCTCCGGACCAGCCCCGTGCCCCGTCCTGACCGCGGTCGAGGCGAGCAGTGCGACAGTGCCGGACCCTCGGCGTTGAAGGGGGAGAGGGGACGAACAACGAAACTGGGGCCGGGGGTGTGACAGCTGCGCGGCGGAGCGAAAGGGTTAACGCCGATCAGAGGAGCGCTCCCGATCCGGGAGAGGCGACGAGGAAACTTTTGCTCCGTCCCGCGGGCGCCGGGACGGACGAGAAGCAAGAGCCGGGGAGGTGGAGGCGGGGGTGAAAGAGGGGACGGCATCGCGCTCCTTACCGGGGCAGAGTCCGCGCGCGTTTCCACACCGAAGCCCACCGGCGGCGGCAAACCTGGCTCATTTCTACAGAGTAAACATTTCTCCTTCCTTCCAGCGGCCGGGTCCCCGGGAGACTGACTCACACCTCCAGCCGCCGCTCCCCTCCCGCTCCTCCCTCCCCCGGCTGTCACAGGTGCTGCTGCTCTTGCCGCTGGGGAACGCTGGGGGGCCGCCTGCCACAGCCGCGCGCTCCGCTCGCCCCGGCCCGCCCGCCGCTCGCCCGCCCGCGCACACGCACCGGCCCCTCCCTCCCTCCGCCGGCCCCTCTCACAGCGCGGGAGGTGGGGCCCTACCTGCGGACCCTGCCCCGCCCAGCCCACCCGCGTTGGGTTTTTTACATCACTGTTATTATTTTATTTTTTCCCCCCTTCCTTTCTGCCCCGTGCGTCAGCTGGGAGAGCCGCGGCGCTGCCCCGCCGCCTGGATCTGCTGGGTGGGCGGGCACCGCGACGCTTCGCGGAGAGCGCACCTGAGGCAGCTTTTACTAGAAATCTGTTTTCCGTGCTATTTTTAAGCTCCGGAGTTTAGCACGTGCCCGCTTTCGTTCTTGCGCAGTTTGACTTGATAGAGCTTCATAAAAAATACCAACTAAAATGAATTTACTAGTTTACTGATTAAAACTCGATTCAAAGTGCTTGCTCCCAAACCTCAACAATCACAGAACTTTACTTGAGGTGACAAATTTGGGAGTTTGAGAATTTTGATTTTATCCCTTTCCCCAGTCTGTAATCAGTGCCTGTAAGAGGAACTGGGAAGAACACTTCTGTTTCTTCCCTTAAACAAAACCTTCCCCCTTTCCCTTGGTAACAGCAGGGAAGCTCACAGCAGCCGGACACAGCACGCAGCGTTTCCAAACGCGATGCCCCTTTTGCAGAGCGGTAAGAAAACAAGCACGGATCTTGCACGGGGCAATGTGCGAGCGGCCATCCAGGAATATACTGCTGATGGAAGGAGCAATCAGCAGATCCCGGCACCCAATTTTTTTTCCTCCAATCCAAGTCAGCATGCTGGCTGAAGGAAGGACATCCTGTGATGATGGCATACAATGTCCTGTTTGTTTATTATTAAGAGCATTCCTGCTTCTCATTACAAAACAACCAGATGCCTTACTTCCTTCAGTGGTCCCGTCTCTTCAGCAAGGCGTCCTCGGGCTCAGAGGAACGGTGATGCACAATTCCATTTATAGCCGTTCACAGCCCAGTGCAAATGCTAACTGCTTCACTGTGAGGCAACTCTACTACTTTTCCTTCTTCTCACACGTCTGCAAGCATATTTCTCATCACTTCCCTGGCACTTTACGTAGCAGCTAGTTTCACATTCTTCTTCTAAACGTACATACACTTATATTCTAGGGTGATCTCGGTGTTACGTATTTCTTCACAGGAAAAAGGGAGAAGGGGGGGCGGAAAGCAGGTTTATGCAATCGGGTGCCTGTCTGTCTTCCCTGTCAGGCGTACACAAACCCCTTTCCCTTAACCTGCTCCTCCTCCCACCGATAAAAAGACGTGTGGAAAGGATTACTTGCCATTTTGGGCCTGTGATGCTGAGAATAGCATATCTGTGTAAAGACCTTCCATGTGCGCTAACGCGGCAGGGCTCATGGCAGCAGACCTAAGTAGGGCAACTGGTCGCAAGTGAGTGTCCTGGCTTAACTGCCACCACAGCGTAATTCCACAGGAGAGGTGGCCCGGGCACTGGGGCTGAAGGATATATATGTAATTGGATATACCCTGTAAAACTGAGGCACATCCAAAATGAGGTCTAGGAAGGCTCTGAAGTAGGAAGAACCATTCATTAAAGGAGAGAAATCCGGCCTACTTGATTGGGTTAATTAAGTGATGCTGAGTCACACTGCATAGAACAGAAAAACAATGTAGTCATACTGAAGGTGATTATTTTACCGAAAAATAGTCTCACTCCGAGAGGCAGCTGTTTCAGAGCTTTTCACTTCCCTGTTAGCTTGCAAGAAAAACAAAAAAATAAAAAAAAAGGGGGGGGGGGGGGGGGGGGAAAAAAAAAAAGGGTCT